TGCAATATTGGCAGGTCTCAATCAGGACGACGGATCTTTCGCGCAAGCAAAGGATTATATGAGAGCCGAGTTTCATTCCGATGACGGCCCGGGCGGGTTTTCTCTGGGCGCCTGTGCGTGCCTGCGGCCACTTATAGTTGGAGAAGATGACGATGAAAACCCGGCTGCCTTAGGCAGTTCGGACACCTGGAGCGGCCTGAGTTTCCGAGCGGATGATTTGGCCAAAATGATAGGCCAATGTGCTGTATACATCGCGAGGCACTGCTCGGACTATGCTAGATCGTCAGGAGGCTGGGTCTACTTTGGAGACCTGGTGCAGAAACTATATGATGACGGTTTTACTTTCCAATCGTACGCCTTGGCTGCGCACAGCTTAGCTGTGTTGCCGGCAGGGGCAATCGATGTTTTGGGAATTTCCCCCAAAGACAGCCCCAATATTGTTGGAACACTGATCCACGCTCTGTGGGAAAAACACAATACAAGATCTCTGCAAGAGAACATGGGAGAGAAATGCCCATACCGATATTCTATTGGGCATGCCAGGGACATTCAACGTTCACCGCTTCGAGTGAGAGAATGTATGTCCCGTGCGACCCTGGCCAAGTCAGGAGTCACGGATCTCTTCTACATATTGCGAGCTTGCAGTCATTTTTGGAGTCTACGAGTAGACATGTTCGCTTTCCGACGGGCAACTCTGGGCTTTGTTATGCCGCATATTACGATTTATTGCGTTTGCTTCCGGCACGCGACAGCCCAACTATGTCTGACCCCTCGGATTTTTCTCCGTGGCTAAGCCAAAGGAGATATGGACAAGCGCCCACCATAAAAACTATAGTACCTATGGGCAACCAGGCTCGGGATGGGGAGCCGCCAAAGGTGGGTACCTTGCACGTGAATGGCATACGCGACCTCTGGCCATGTGTCCCCAATCTCAAGCATCATGAGCAATGGGGTATTATCCTTGTTTTCACTGGCAGAGTGCTCACCCGCTTCTCGTACAGAGCATGCCCAGGCGGGACATTGGTGTCCCGGGAGGTGCCGAAATTCACGGACATCGACAAAGCCGTCTCCCTCGTGAGGCAGGCGAATCAGATGCGCTGGACGGTGCTATTTGACCGCGAAGTGTCTTCGTACGAGGTCACTTTCGACAGCGCGTCGATTATTGCCTGGGTTAATACAGACGAGAGACTGATCATTAATTGGGACCGCGAAGCAAGGTTGGAAACCGCGATTCAAGATCGAATTATATCTACCCCTGGGATGACGATGGGAGATTTCTTTGTTTCCGTTACCGCTGGGTGAGGACAGGTTTTGCCAACTGTCCCGTCTGTAATTGCCCAATCAGAGATAAATACAGGGTTTCACACGATTACATGACCCAGACATGGAGGTGCAAAACTATCCCGCAGTCCCTCCAGGCACATGGCATTTGGATAATAATGGATGAAGCAACTCTGTCATGGAATTGTCATGAGTACATGGATGCGCGGATAAAGAGACAAGGGGGAGCTTCTGCTAACGTCGCGAGAAACGTCGCCAACAACAATCAGCAGGAGCGAAAATGGGCCTCCAACTTTGCCACAATGGCGGCTGCTGGCACAATATTTGGCAAGGCTTGGGTCCCAGAAAACGCCGAGGCTCAGTCTCCGGCGCGACATGCTCCTTTCTTTCAATACTTAAGGCTTTTGGTCAAGAGATTTATATCGTGGCTAGAACACTCGGCCAGAAGTGTGCGGAGGCAAACCCCGCCCATGAATAAATGGTGGCCGAAATTGTGGGCGACTGGTTTTGACCAGTGCGCTCGCCCCAGATCCTGCCCAGCCCTGCAAGCATTCCACTGGCCTGATGAGCCAGATGACTTAATCACTCCTCGGATCGGCTGGGTGCGATGGTTCAACAATATGAGGAGAGCAAACATCTTTGTTCCTACGCTTGCCACAATAGATGATGCCATGCAGTTTTACATATCTTGGTTCGGCGTATTTCCTGAGGGTACTGGAAACAACGCCGACAACGACAACCCTCCTGCGAGGTTGCCGGTCGCCTGGGAGAATAGTTTTAGAGCGAGACCGACTCGCAGTCCTCACTCCGTTTCAAGACTGGTGGGCCTCTGTCGGGACCATCGTTTTATTATCCCCGTGTTGCGACATGCCGCCGGCTCAGCCGCGGGGGCGCGCGAACAGTCACAAATGGATCTGGACCTCAAAGTGATCAGCGGGCCTAAGGCCGCGTCGATAACTGACGGACTCCTCACTTTTGACCAACCTGAGGGGCACGTATATTTTCACCATGGGGACTCTTTGATCAAAATAAGATTGTTCGGGGGCGAAGTTCGAGAGGTTGCCGCTCATTACATAATTGAACACACGGGAATAAACCCTACTACACCCGGCAGGGTTGCCTTAACCGGAGCGGCAGACTACGTGATCCCTCATCAAGACCATAGTGGATGACAATTGGCCAGTACCGGCACAACACATGGAACTGGGCCTTCGGCCCATAAGGATTTTCGCAATTCTTCGTGGGATAATCAGCTATTTCGTATCGGAGGACCACTTTATTGGTTACCCGGGGCGAATCATTCGTCCCGAAATTGTGAGCACGGATGGAATTGAATCGAAGAAACGGACCGACGAATATGCCTTGGACTGCCGCATTCGTGCGGCTGTTGAGACAGACGACGTTATAGAAAGATGGGCCCGCAAGATTGGCAGGAAGGTGCATGATGACGTCCGTTGCCATGGTGCTCTAATACAAGATGCCATAACTTGGCTACAGGATAAGTATCCTGACCCCAGTACCGATCTCCAGGACAAAGAAGATGGTCCTTTCCGCACTGCGTGCGGATTATATGGTGTCGCTGCAGCAATTGCTGCCATAAGTATAATACAATGTATGAACGGTAGGAATAATGATCCTGAGCACGACGGCGAAGCCGAGATCGTGGGGCCACGTGCGCCTGCTGGACCAAAGGCAATACCTTTGTCTCGCACGCCGTCTCTTCGACCTGGCATCTCAGATGCTCAGGCGTCTGAGGAAGCTACTGGTTCCCCACGTTCTGTCGCCGGCTCAGCCGTGCCGACCAGAGAGGCTAACCTACAATATCCCAACGCGAGGGATCGGTCGGAATTGCGACGCGCGCGCGATGCAGCCATGGATGATGCCTCAGACGCGGCTGCTGATGCTGCCGCCGGCATTGTGCTGCCCGCGGCGGTTGGCGCTGCCGCTGGCGCTGCCTCGGGTGCTGCCAGCAGTGTCGCAGGATACGGCTACGAATACGATCGGGACAAGTCCGACCCGTGCTACGTGAATGGAATCCTTGTAGGGTACCACATCCTCCGGAACAGGATCACGTGGCTTACTAACGATGAATGGTACAATCTGGATTACTGGACCTGGCTATCAAAATGGGAGCATGAACAACATTTCCCGCCGAGAGAGGCGGCACTGGTTGGGAATACTGACAGAGAAAGAGGGCGGTCTCGGACGCCTCGTGGCGTAGACGTACAGATGGGAGGATCGGTGCCATCAAACCCGCCTCCTCCCACGCCGCCTGGTCAGTACTTATAGAACGATCACAATCGGTTCGAGGACCTCAACTGAGTGCGGCCCGCGTGACTCCGTCCGCGGCAGGCGCACGCAAAACACTTTACCCACGCGCTCAGCGTGTTGGGCGCGGGCCTCTGTACTGGTCGGCTAAGCCGGTCTAGCGGAGAGAAACTATTTATAACAATGGTGGGAAACGTCGAGCCTCTTCGGCCCTTGGCCCCCTGGCAGCCACCGTTGAGCCGTAAAAGCTTTTTCGGGTTGGCTCCGGTGGTTGTGCAAATGTACAGGCCGGGGGTGCTGTGGCTGGATGGGCTCTACGCGGCCCGCCGCGGGGGGAGTAAATATGCTCCTCTCCGCCTCATACTCAATTAGAACTTAACCTAGCTTGCATGCATTGCACTGTCCGCGTGAACTGAAGCTGCGTTTCCGCATCCATACGACTGCTCGAGCCAGCCGACCTCGGCTGGCAGGAGAGAGAAGGAGCGCGCTGAGGTGCGTGGGCGGCTCGTCGTCGTCCGTCCTCGGCCGGCCTCCTCCCTTCATATTCTTAATAGAGTAGTCTTGCTTGACGGATACTTGTCTTATCAATGTCTCATCCCGCCTCTGCTCTCCCTGAGCCGAGTGAACGTGAGATCTTAATTCCTTTGTCATCTTATCCCGATTCTCAGAGGAAAGACTCCTCCCCCCCCTTTCCTTCTCCCCCTCCTCCCTCTCCTTGTCCTCCTCCTCCTCCTCGTCGTCCTCCTCCTCCTCGTTCTTCTCCTCCTCCTCCTCCTCCTCATCCTCCTCCTCCTCCCAGGACGGTGTTGGCCAGGCCTGTGCGGCGCCCATTTTGCGCGCATCCCTTGCGCCGATCCTGGCCAAGCTCAGCGTGTGGCCTAGCATGAGACTGGCCAGGATCGCTGCCAGCGTACATTCGAGGAGGGCGGTCTGAGACAGCGGAAATTGGACCCCGTCGCCACGGCTTTGCGCAGCTCGGACAGTTTGTGTTGCTATTAAAAACTTAACGGCAATGTAAATACAGTCAAGACGCTGAAATAAGGATCAGTTTGGGTTCGGACGAGGCTCGATGTTCCCTGGGTTCCTCCAGCGCTGTTCCTCTTGCCCTCCTGGGGCACGGAGGCGCTTACAGGGCCAAGGAGGGGCTTCGTTCCTTATTTTGCGTTCCTTCTTTCAGCGGCCCGACTGTATAACAACTCGGCGGTCCACGCGGATTTCTTGGATTGTGCGTTGGACACCCCTCTCTGGCGCACGGAACGCGCTGGGGGCGGCGCTGGAGGCGCCGCCAGGGCGGTCCAGCGCCGATCCAAGAAATCCGCTCGGACCCCAGAGTTGTTCTGTTGTCGTCATCTCGTTTTTGAGGTTGGACCCCTGGCGGGGGGTCTGGAAACCGATCCTGAGACGCTGCTGTCTCACTTTGCCATGTTCCGAGCATAGCTGCCGCCATACTAGGAGACGGGTGGAACGGCCCTCGCAACTGGACCGAGGCGAAGTACGGCATTAACGGGAGCTGCATCGATACGGCCCGACCATTCCAGGTGTCGGCCTCCTTCCCAATCGACAAGCACGGCGTCCTAGAGGCCATGCAGGTATCTCTCTTCCTGCTCCTCCTACTCTTCTCCTCCTCCTCCTCCTCCTCCTCCACTTCCCTCCTCATTCTCTTCATTATCCTCCTCCTCCTCCTCCTACTCCTCCTGTTACAGCGGCGAACGCTGTGCTCCTACTCCTGTTCCTCTCCTTCTCTTCCGCATCCGCCTCCTGCTGTGTCTCCTCATCCCTAACTATGTACGTCGTTTCTCGTTTTCCTCTTGCTCTTACTCCCCATCCTCCTTCTCGTTTTCCTCCTCATCACTCTGTCCTTCTCATCCGCCTCCTCCTGCTCTGGCGACGACGACGACGAAGACAGCGATGACGATTCATGCAGGTCGTCCTCTCCCAGCAGGGCCATGGGTGTCGGTTGCATGCCCGAGTGGACGGCTACACCCGAGGCATGAAGGAGTTGCAGGAGGAATTGTAGCAGAAAGAGGAGGAGAAGGATGGGGAAGAAGAGGAGGAGGGTCGGGTGGTGTTTCGGGGCGTGGGGCGGGTCCCCCCTCCTCCCCTTGCGGTGAATAGTGACCCGCACAAGTGGCACTTCATATCAGGTTTTTGGCCCTGTTGAGCTTGCCTTAAGGGTAATGTGAGCTGCTCTTGTCCAC